AATAGGTGAAAAATACACAGTTACATCATAAAAAACTATGAAACGTCTCTAAACACCGTTTCGGGCTTGGAGAGCGCAGGACGCCGCGCCGCAGCCGCGCCGCGTGGTCCCCCCAACCCACTTAGCACCCGATTGGCTCAGCCACCCCGGAGCCCCGGGCTCGTCTAAGACGACGATCACCTCACCTTAACTACTATCTCGTCGTCTCACTGTCTGAGACGACTCCCTCTAGCTTAACCCACGCCCCTAAACGGTGCGGGGTCAAGCGGCCCTGAGATAAGTAGGTCCCTCACTTCTACCAAAGCAACAGCAAAGGCAGCACGTGGGTTCTATCGTTTAGATAAACACTTATTACTAACACTTTCCTTCTTTGCATTTTATAGCGGTAACGACCGCGCTTACTATTACAGTTGCTGTATTTTACTCCGTTATTACCGGAGTTATTATTAAAAACCACTGAACCGCCTAACACACCCCCCTTCCTAAAATTAGGTAAAAATACACAGTTATAACATAAAAAACCTATGAAACGTCGACGGGCTCGACTACTCTTCCTCCTCTACTATCTCTCTAGAGAGGCGCCAGACTAGAAAGGGTGCCGCGCCTCCGCGTGGCACCCCCCAGCCCACTTAGCACCCCCACTTCAACATGGGCGACTGTCCAATAGCTAAATCTAATCGATAGCGAAGGGAAAAGCAGAATACTCTATACAATATAGATCACTGAGAGAAATGCTACGCCAACGGAAAAGAGAGAATCCCACAAAAACTTCTTTCGAGAACAACATCCATGGCAAACATACCACGCGTGCATGGCAACGTGAGCACTTAACTCAGCAACACATGTACTGCAAAAAACAAAATCTTTACTGAAGAACACCATAACGAGCATCACTCGGAGATCATAACTGCCTTCCACTAGAAATACCTTAAAATATTCGAAGCTCCACAAGACTTCCACGTTCTAAAGCAATTCCGCCGTAAAATAAAATGCACTGGACAGAGTGCTGCCACAGACTATGCATTTCCTTCTACGACACATCGTGTCTCAAAGGGCCTACGAACTACTTGAACTCGGTTCCTTTAAATTTGCCGGATGCGTCATTTTTCTGCCCTCGTCTGGCGCACTCCCGTTTGATGTGGTCTTTGCGTGTTGTGCCTGCCTGTCCAATGGGGCCCCCACCACCACCGCCGTAGGCTTCACCCGGGGTGTTTTTCTCTGGGCTCTAGCCTCTTGCCGTCAGAGATGCAGAGAAAGTTCAAGTAGTCACGTAACCGTCTCAAAGTGCCTTTCCTCCACATTCTTTTTGTTATCATTATCTTTCCGCCTATCTATTAGTATGCGTGCTACGTGAAGATTTTTATTTTTTATTAAATGTGATGTGGTTGTAGGAAGTTTCACCTCATGATCGAAGGGTCAGTCGATCAAGAGATAGGCGACTCTCCTTTGAAGCAGATCATCACCAAGTACTTCCTATCGTGCACCGCTGCTCTTGTCGCGGAAACTGTGACATATCCACTTGACATAACTAAAACACGGCTTCAAACAGCTCGAAACAGGCACACTAAAGGAGGTGGTTTTTCTTTAAAATTCTTCAGAATTCTTGGTAATGTGATTTGACAAGATGTTCCTCGGAGCTCAATAAACTCTATTGCTTAGGTATGTTTCGAGTCACTTATGATATTGTTCGAAGGGAAGGAGCTTTGAGCCTCTGGACCGGAGTTGGACCAGCTATAACTCGTCACTACATCTATACTGGAATACGCATAGGAGCGTATGAGTCTCTCAGGGGTATGGTTTTTGAGAAAAAAGTAGGTCTTCCTTGGAGATATTGCGCATGTGCGGTTTCAATACTTGTTCAATTGCTTTAGAAAGAGAGAACATTCCCGATGTGGAAATCCATGCTTTGTGGTGCGATATCTGGTCTCGTAGCTCAGTTTGCTGCTAGCCCTACTGATTTAGTAAAGGTAACAATACATGGATTTTATATCGTGAACTGTTGTTGCATGTTTATCCCCCTATGAACACAATTTACCCAGTTGTTTTGCATTTGTTGAGACCTTGACCATCCGCGTTCTAGTGCTCAGAACTTCTAAGAATTCTATTTAATTGGCTTACTGTATATCTGATTCGTTTTTCATGCTTCGTCTGCGTCGTTGAGAACAGGTAAAAAATTATTTATTTTGTCTTTGCTTCCATCATAAAGGTCATACCCAAATCAATTGTGCAGTAGGAATGAGATCGTCTTGAGTCTCGGCACTGTTTTTCCACGTTTTGACTTCATTTCAAGATCTTGGCTTGACTAAGATATTGTCCTTCGGTACGATCACACGTGGGCGTTTATCAGGCGTTTTGGGTGCTAAGGGAGTTGGGGGGGGGGGGGGGGGGGGGGGGGGGGGGGGGTACGCGGCGGCGCGGCGCCTTCTCATGTCTGCGCCCTCTCCAGCGAGATAGTGGTACTAGGCCTGAGTCTGGTGAGGTCGTACTGAAGTGCTTCATGATTCAAAACAAATTACCTCTTGGCACATGTTATATGCTTGCATATTATGAATACTCTTCTTCTGAGCCGATAAAACCCTATTTTCAAGAAGGGGAGGTGCTCCGGGGTGGGTGGGATTGTTATCTCGTGCAAAAAGCTGAGATGAGATAAAAGCTGAACGTCCAATTGGCTCACCCACCCCGGAGCCCCTCCCCTTATTAAAATTAGGTGAAAAATACACAGTTATAACATAAAAGGGCTATGAAACGTTCCTAAACACCATTACGGGCTCGCCTACCCTTCCTTGCCTACTATCTGGCCGGAGAGGGCGCAGACATGAAAAGGCGCCGCGCTGCCGCGTGCTCCCCCCCCAACTCACTTAGCACCGCGTTTTGACCTTGACTACAGGCGTGCTCGTATATGTTAGCTCGATAAAATTGTCAAGATTGCGTATACCTTTTCAACCTTCTCACCAACCTAGAAATGATACCCTTTTTGTTTAACTGAGTTTCTCCAACTCCAACTGTCGTACTCTTTACCCACCAAGGAAGGACTCTGGTGTGTCATGTGTTTTCTTGCAAGACCTGCCATCTGTCATCGGATCTTGTAGCCAACAAGGCTCATTGAAGCATCAGATGCTTTCACAAGGGAATCTAGCTTGACATCTTCTTCACGACTTAATGATTGGTGAATTCGCTGACCAGACAATATGTAAGGATTAGGTTAAACAAAATAGTCGTGTAAATAATGTCTTCAAGTGTCACGCAGAGCGTTCCAAATCGAGCAGTGGGTACTTATATCAGCGATTATTACTTAGTGGGCATTGCAAATACATGTGAAATAGTAAAGCATGGATGTAGGACTGCGCCTGGTTGGTGACTAAGCAGCCCGGCCTCCTTGTAGACCTCGATTACAACAGAAAACTGTTCGCTAAGTAACAATTTTGCATGATGTAATTAGAGACTTAGTTTTGCGCACTCTTTCGCAGTCTTCTGCAAAAGATTATTACAGGTGCAAATGCAAATGGAAGGCCTCCGTAGACTTCAACAACTTCCTTTACGGTACAACGGAGCATGGCATTGTTTTGTTTCCCTTTATAGAACTCAAGGTTGATTTTTTTTAATATCATGCATGATTTTTAGTGGATAAAATATGTTCCAGGCTTTTTTGGTCTATGGTTGGGATGGATACCAAACTGTCAGCGCGCGGCTCTCCTGAACATGGCCGACATTGCAACTTACGACTATGTCAAACACAAACTGCTAGGAGATTTCGAACTATCGGTAAATTTCCTTTTAAATAGAGTTTTTCGCTCTAATCTTTGCTTCATGGGTGATGAGATATAGGATAATTGGTTAACCCATGCCTTGGCCAGTGCATGCGCAGGTCTGTCGGCTGCTGTGGTTTCCCTTCCATCTGATGTGGTGAAGACAAGAATGATGGATCAAATAAGGCATGAGCTAGATGCGAAAATGTGTGTTTTTTAGCTTTAACTGAATACATTCTATTTGTATCCCATTTTAATGAAATGAATGCAGGGCTCATGTGAAAAGCACGCATGTTCAACTTTACAATGGATGCATAGATTGCTTCGTGAAGATAGTGCGGGATGAAGGATTTTTTTCGTTGTACAGGGGATTTTTGCCCACCTATATAAGGATGGCGCCTTGGTCGCTCACTTTTTGGGTGTCTTATGAAGAAATTCGCAAGTTTGTTGGAGCTCCTAGTTTTTAGAGTCACTGTTTGCGATAAGTCTAACATTTTTTATTTTCACAATGATTGTTTTGATTTACCTAATCATTGTTATTGCCTAATTGTCTTCTGCCTGGTATTCTTGTTGCTAAGTCAAAGGAGCGGACAGTTCCCTCCGAATATAGTCTTTCGTTTGATTAGAATTTGTTGACATAATTGACCTCTCTGCATAGTTAGTTCTTGTTGTCTGCTTTGGAGATGATTTCCACTCGTAGAGGACAAAAAGCTAGCATTAGTGTGTAGTATATGACAACAAAATCGAAACTAATTTTGGAAGAAAAAAATTACCTCATGAATTCAAATGTTAGACGCAGATTATACAAGTTGGAAATTACTACCCAGTTACACAGCGTCGGCGTCTTGATAACTGTGCCCCCTTTCTCTCAACAGTGATAGGCCGCATTCATACTAGGTGCCGTATACGGCACCCGAGTGCCGTCTACGGCACCAGTCGTACGAAATCAATCGATCGACAGCTCCCATTGATGACTCATCCTACGGGATGACTGTTTGAGATAATTGTGCTCCTTTTTCTCTTCGCTCGTAGCAGATTTTGTTGTGATTTTCATTTTGTATCACGTCCCGTGCTTATTACCGATCTTCCGTGCGCGTAATGGTCGCTTGAGCTCATTATTTTTTCACTTATTTTTCTTACCCCTCTTATTTCAATAATTTGTTGTGGGAATTTTTCTATTTTATTTTTTCTATACTATTTTTTACTTCTATTTTTTTCTGCTTTATATTCTAGCTA